ATTGTTACCACTGTAGGAGTCAACTCGTCAGAGCTTTTGGAGATGATACTTGATGGGACATTTTCTGATATCCTGCACCATGTTGCCAAAGTAACCCTGTCACCGCAGTTTGAGAATAGCCCGCTATCGCTGTCTGAGGGCAAGAGACCTGCTGATGCTCCCATTGGGGTTCTAGCGAAGAAAGAACGCAAAGGGACGCAACCTCCGGCAGCAGAAAAGTCACACAAGGAGAAAAAGGTTCTTAAAATTATAAGAAGAGCAAGTGAGGTAATAGAAATGAACATCAGAGACCCAGAGCCAAAAAACTGTCAGGCTGACGCACTCATGGAGTCCAGAGCTCTGGGCATCAATCTGAGCTGGTCTTCAGACACAGGCAGATGTGTGGATGCCTCCCCGGTGCTTCTAGTACAAGAAGGAACAAGTCTTAGGTCAGATGTGACTGAAACAACAGTGTTCATTGGCTCACATTCTCACAGGGTGCAGGCTTTAGACCTGGACAGCGGGAGCCTTGTGTGGGAGCGAGTTCTCGGGGACAGAATCGAGGCCTCGGCTGCCGTGTCTCACTGTGGGACTCTGGTGGTTATAGGTCAGTATCAGCACTCTGAATATCTAGTTATAAAATGTGACGGTTAGTTATTGTGCTTAAGGATTACTTTTCCCAGGTTGCTATGACGGCGGTGTGTATTTCTTGTGCACTGCCTCCGGAGAGACACGGTGGATATTTGACACGGGAGATGCTGTGAAGAGCTGTCCTGCTGTGGATCCCCTCACAGGCCTGGTGATAGTGGGCTCACATGATGGGTATGTTTACGCCCTGAACCCAAAGGTGAGTGTGTTTGATATGAGGGCATACTAAAGCTCTAAGGATTCAGAAAAATCACATGTTGATAGATTATGGTGATGTCACAATTCAGTTTCTCTTCAATCTTGCCAAAAACAAGGAGAATATAGCTTTAATTTATATATTTGCTAAATGTTGTTCAAGCTTATACTTTGGAATTAAAAAAAGGAGGCCGGTCTGAACCATTAATGAGAGTTACCACATGTAACAAGGGTTATATTGGCTAATAGGTTACAATAAACCTTTTTATTTACATCAAAATGAACAAAAAAAGGAATAAACAAAACTCCCAAAGCACACTTACACAATAGAATAGACAAACCTCTCCCACACATACTGTAGATTTCCACCTGAACCACACAAGCTGTCTCAATCAACTCTGAGCATCTGTGTTGTGATGTTGTCTTTTCCTGGTAAAATCCCTGCTGTAATTAAAAGAGGCACAAAGGGTTTTTTTTTTTTTTTTTTATAGGTCCAGCAGTGTGTGTGGAAGCGCCACTGCGGGGGCGGAGCTGTGTTTTCCTCTCCGTACTTTCAGCCCTCGCACAGACAGCTGTATGTGGCGACACTGGGAGGACACCTGCTCTGTCTCAACCCGGTGGGTGAAGAAAATACCGGATGAATGAAAATGTAGAAAATAGAAACTTGTGTCATTTTGATTACTAAATGTATAAGTCTAAATGTAACAAAGAAAAGAATGGCCTCTGCCTATCAAATCATTAGCAGCAGTCCAGTGCACAGAGAAGCATGTGGAAGCGACTCTGCCCCAGTGCCATCACAACTCTTCATCGTGTTGTATTCATTTAAAAGCACGCTTCACTTCCAACATGACACTTGTATCTGTGATGGCTTTGATTGATGATTCGGGGTGAAGTTGAGGTCAATATAATCAGTGACATTATAAAAAAAAAACACACACATAATGAGCACCTGCTTTGTCTTGTGTTTGTCTGCTCCAGGACAGTGGAGAGGTTCTGTGGTCTCACAGCAGAGGCATCCCGTTCTTCTCATCACCAAACAGCTCCTCTGCTCGCGTGCTCATTGGTTCTGTGGATGGAAACATCTGCTGCTTCAGCAACACGGGGAAACTGGTGAGAGGCAGAACTCAGACTGTCACAGCTTTCTACTTTGGCTTCAGCTCAGTTTTCACAACAGAAATGTGACGTCTCTGTGATTGTGGTTTAATCTGACACTGATCAGCCATAACATTATGACCACTGGCAGGTGAAGAGGATAACATTGATTATCTCATTACAGTGGCACCTGTCAGTGTGTGTGGTATATTAGGCAGCAAGTGAACATTCAGTCCTCAAAGTTGATGTGTTGGAAGCAGGAAAAACGGAGAAGCATAAGGATCTGAGTGACTTTGACAAGGACCAAACTGTGATGGTGAGATGACTGGGTCAGACCATCTTCCACACTGCAGGTCTTGGTGGGTGTTGTTGGTCTGCAGTGGTTAGTACCTACCAACAGTGTCTAAGGACAAATGGTGAACTGGAGACAGGGTCGTACTGATCTGGGCTCTACTAAATCAAACAGGACTGAAATGTTAAGAACTGTAACTTTTGCGAATTGAAACTCTGTTGTACAAACATGAGCCAAAACAACAGCAAAATACCTTAGTGTGTGAGACTGTTTGTATTTCTCTGCAGGTGTGGCAGTTTTATACTCAAGGACCTGTCTTCTCCTCTCCGTGCATCACACCAGACCAGCAGAGGGTTCTGTGTGGATCACATGATGGTCGCCTGTACTGTTTAAGCTGTGCCGATGGCTCTTTAGTTTGGACTTTCCAGACATCAGGCAAGGTGTACTCAGCTCCATTTGTGTTTGATGCTGTGGGCAGGAGGGGGAGTCTGGTGGGACTGGCCTCTACAGATGGCACAGTCTGGATCCTGGATTGTCAGGATGGACAAATGCTGGCCTCCCACACTCTACCTGGGGAGCTGTTTTCATCACCAGTAGTCCACAAACAGTCTCTTGTGGTTGGGTGCCGCGATGACTATGTGTATTGTTTAAAGCTGACTGTCAAAGAGGAAACGTAGAAACATTGTTTATGTACTGAATTGATAATAAACATTGTTTTTTTTCCTGAATCTGGGTCAGAGCAGGAAGCAGGATTCTAATTAAAGCTCAGGGTTGCAGACCTAGAACAGAAGAACAGTCCTGCAGTTCAGACATCATTATTTAATTAACATTATTCATACCATTTGTATCTCTTTAAGAATTTTCTCATGAATATCTCTAAATGGGACAAAAAGTGCAAATAATACCAAACTTTTTTGTTACATATAACACTGCGCACACTACACTATTGTGCACGACCAAAGTTGGAAACAAAATGACAAAGTGACTCAGCCGTATAGGGGCCTCTCTCTAACCGAAGCTCTGCTAATGCCTTTGACTTACATACATACAGATCATTGAGTGAGGGGCAGGAAATGAGAACGCCGGAGGAAATGCTTACATAGTTATGAATGATCGTATCACATTTACGAGGAAGCGATGACATAAGCCTACAAACACAAGTGTGTTACAGGAGGACGGCTACAAGAATCCTATGTTACAGCAAGCAGGTGTTGTGTCGGTCTCCGTTATCAAAACAAACAAAAGTCCAAATTAGATTATTACAGCTGTGAGGATAATGTGCAGTTCAGTGAAAATGTCCGGTAACACTCATGATCTTCAGTGCTCCGTTTAGGTGTGTGATTATCATAGACTGTGTTACTTTGTAATGGCAGAACTGTCCAGGAGCTTATTTGACAGCTATCACAGTCATCACGGACACAGTGAGAATTGTTACTCTAAGGTTTCCGGTATGAGTCAAAAAAAAAAACAGGCTTCTTTTGTACATGAAACACAAGGCTCAGAGAAGAGACACAGTATTGTTTCAACAGAGATAAATCTGCTGCTTTACATAAATAATACCAAGGAGGGCAGAGAAGATGCCTGTAACACTTCCACATCTGCGTCCACAAGTAGATTCAACAGGGTCATGTCAAGTTCTTCTTGTTACTGGTAGCCCTTAAACACAGTTCAGACAGTTCCCCTCTGTTGATTAAACACTGTCATAAGTCAGAGCGTCGCCTCTCTGATATACAGGGGTTCTATTGCGGTGGGTGTATGATGGTTGTGACTGGCTGCTGAGGACATATGTACTTTGTGTGTTTGTATACTCTAAGTGCATGCTTGCAACAACTGTTTACATACATCTGCGACTGTATGGAAATATCTGAATGTGAAGCGCACTTTGACATGATAACAATAACAGCCCGTGTGTGGGGTTATGAGGTGAAGAAGGGCTTTACTTGTTTCACAGTCAGGAGGGTTGACAGGTGGGATCTGGAGTTCTGGAAGTGAAGGGCCATGTGCTGCTGACTCTCAAGGCTCTTCAGAGTCTGTGGCAGTGTGCAGTCTCAATGTAGGCCAGAGAGCCCAGTGTGAAGCTGGGGCAGGGTGTTATTTGATAATTTGAGGGCAGTCGCTCCAGGCTTTGGCCTTTCGCTTGGCCAGGGCCAGCCAGGCCGGCTCTGTGGACACCTGTGGAGAGTCACTGGAGGGGAAGCGCTTTGACACCTCCTTGACAGCAGGTGGCGATGGTGTAGAGTCTGCAATCTCAACTGAAACAACAAAGAACAAAGTTGGTTACAAATGAGTTTATAATAATCCCCTTTATTTGGCCAAGTATGTTACACACAATGAATTTGTTTCTGGTTTCTGGTACAGAACCAAGGCAGCCATCTGCGGCGCAAACTCAACCGATGGCTCTAACCAATGGGGGCAACAGAGGGGTTCAGTGTCTTGCCCAAGGACACTTTGACATGTGGACTGCAGGCACTGAGATTCAAACCTCCGACCCTCCGGTTGGGAGACGGCTGCTCTACCCACTGAACCACAGTCGCCCCCATTGTTACACCATTCAGCATTTTTGGGTTCATTTAAACATTGAATTGTATTGAAACTGATTCATTTGCAACATTATTTTTAGATGTTATTAAAGCAACAGAAAACTGAAAAATGCCAAAATAATTTTAATAAAACCAGAGTGATGTCATCATTTGTCTTGTATTGTTCAACCAATAGTCCCAAACCCCAAATATTCAGTTTAATTGAACCTAAAACAAGGAAAAGCAACACCGATCAGATGTCAGATATTTTGCTTGAAAAATTACCTACAAATTATTCACTTATCAAAATAGTTCATTTTCTGTTGAATGATTGATTACTCAATGAATTACTTCTATTGTACAATTTATTCTTGAGAAATTTTCATCATTATAGAATTATTGAAATATTTTAACACACTGTAAACATGACTTTAGGATTTCAAATATAATTTTCCAATTTTGACGACTTAATTTTTATGATTATTAACTGTATTATGTCAAAAAGTAGTGAAAAATGTCCACAATTTCCAGTTGGCAACAGTCCAGATAAAACTATTTTCAAATTACATGTGAACAAAGAAATGGAACCTGCAGAACCTTTTTAATGCTTGATATAAATGACTTAAATTATTGTTGTTTATCAAAATGACTGTAGACTTTGTCAAGCAACTAATCAGTCCATCAAATTATAATTTCAGCTGAAAATGGCTTTAACATTTCAGACCACAATCCTCAGCATGCAGCTACTTACCAGTGACAGAGCTTGGTAAAGTGTTGGCTTTTTTCAGGTGTTCTCTGCGTTCAAATCGTCCCAGGAGGCTGTCGGGTCTCTTGGGCTCCTCTGGTGTCTGAGGTTTAGAACCAGGACTGGTGCTCCCACTCCCTTTGCCCTCTGTGGGACTCACCAGTGTAACCTGAAAAATAGGTTTGTGATCACTTCAGAGGAGGGAAACTGTGTTGAGAAACTTATGAAAACAGACATGTTTGAAAGCAGGTGAATCAGCAGACACATACAGAGTCCCTCTCTCTAGCTTGTTTTTCAGCCAGTTTGGTCTCTCTTTGGCTACGACGCTCCTCTCGGCTCTGCTGCTGCTCCCTGAAGCCCTTCTGCTTCTGCAGCGCCATTGTGATCCATAAGGGTCCAGACTCCTTCTCTTGGACCCTTGCACTGTCTAGTGAGTGCCTGCTCTGTAGGGATGGTTTTTCTGCAGGGGAAACACATGCATATTGGCATGTTACTGGGGATGTGTACTCTTTGAAACTGTTAATACTAGTGCCCATAAAATACCTGACTGTCACTACCAATACGAAAAGAATGCTATCTTTGAAACTTTGCTTTGGGAAATAACATTTTTCTACAGAACTGTTTTTCACATTTCCGTATTTGCAATAAAACATTTTTGGTCATTATGGCTGTCAGAAGATTCTTCTCAGTATCTTTGGTATGTGAGTTCTAATTTGCACTAACACTCTTCATCACAATGACACTGACCTTTCCTGATGAGCTCTGTCTTCCTGTCCACCTTTTCTCTCCAGGGGATATTGATAGATGGGAAGAATGATCTCTTCTCCTTTGGCTCCTCTTCCCCTTGAACTTGACCTTGGCTGCTCCGGTGCAACTGGGTCGCCACTGAAGGTTCCTCGCTCCTGATCGTCTGCTCATGGCTGTACAAGTCTGCTCCCCCTGTCTCGTGGCTTGCAGCATCACCGGGAAGCCCATGGACCACTGTAGAAAGAGGCGATGGGGGAGGTGTTGGGACTGCTCCGGTAGGTTTGGGTGACATGGTGGGTCTTCGGTAGAGTGGCGGTTTTGAAAGCACTTTCTCACCTTCGCTATCTGGGGGTGGACTGGTAAACTTATCGGGTTTAGCCTGAAGGATGGCGGGAGAGGCAGATGCATGTAAGTACTTGCTTGTTACTTCTTTCTGAGGCAGTGTGGACCCTGATTTATCTGAAAACACAGAGGAAGAGTCAGCATCTGAATCACTGGGGGTGAGAGGTGAAGGGACACCATCAAAGCTGTCTCCAGCACTGTATCGTTTCTTCCTTTTCTCTGTGGACTGTTCGCTGTGAAAACGCAGGGAGTAGTTGGTCCTCCTCAGTTTTATGCCAAAAGGTGAGGGCATGTCCTCACTGTCCTGGCCCTGCTCCTCTTCGGCCTTTCTGCTTTCAGACACCTCCGTCTCACTCTGAGCCCTGCTCCTCAGCTCTACTCCCTCAGGCTTGTCTCCAGGGCTGGGAACCAGGAAAGAAGGGAGGTCTTTGGCAAACATACACTCATCTGACCCTCTTTCTACGATGCGGACAGTTTTACTTGTCCTGTTCTGAGGTTTACTGGTTGGAGCTGGAGAGGCTGCAATGGGGCTGTCAGATGAACTACCTTCCTCTCCTGCTTCTTTATCATTTGTACCAAACAGCTCAGAGTTTCTGGTTGATTCTCCAAACTTCTTCTTTGCTGGGGTGATGGAGAATTTGGCGCTGGCCGACACAGTCTTCCTGAGGTTGGCATGGGCAAAGGGAGGCTGGTCTTCACTATGAGGCTGAGGCTGGTTCCTGCTCAGGTCTGTATATTCATCATACTTCCCCTCTTCTACCCCTTTGAATATCTTTGATCTAATATTTGCCCACTCAGCCAAGACAGTGGCACTGGATTGGTCTGTAGAGAGCGAGGACTCGTTGAGTGATTTCGTTTTGCCAGACTTGTGGTCTGGAGAAGTCTTGCTCTTGGTTGGTGGTGTTCCCTGGGCCTTTCTGTCCTCTCCCAGACCCAGCAGAGACTTGCAGGCAGTGTTTTTGATCTGGTCGAAATTAACAGCTGTCCCGCAGAGCTGGGCGCCTGTCACTAAGATGGCTGTGTGGGGGATACATGCAGATGTTAGCAGGTTAGGGGAGTCTGGTCCTTCAGAGGAGAAGCCCTTAGCTCCCTCTCTTTGTTCAGCAACAGCACTGCTGTGGTGCCTGGAGGATGGCATAACAGGTGTCAGGTTGACCTTCTGGAATAAAATCTGCTTTTCTCCAGAAGAAACTTTAAAAGAGAATGGCCTCTGTCTCTCTTCTATCTCCCTCCAACGCAGCTCCTCAGCTCTCCTCTTCCTCTCTTGTGGATCTGAGCTGCCATCAGTCTCCTCTAATGACAGTCTTCTCTGCTTCTCCTCCTCTTTTCTCCTACTCTCCTCTGCTTCCATTTTTCTCTTTTCTTCCATTTCATGCATTCTTTCCTCTTCTTCTATCTGCTTCTTCTTCCTCTCAGCCTCAAGCATCCACTGCCTCCTCACCTCTTCTTCCTCCTTTCGCTTCCTCCTTTCCTCCTCCTCTTGCCTCTTCCTTTTCCTCCTCCTCCCTTTCCTCCTCCTCTTGCCTCTTCCTTTCCTCCTCCTCCTCTTTCCTCCTCTGCTCTTCCACTCGTCTCTTCTCCTCCTCCTCCCGCAACCTCCTTTCCTCTTCCTTCCTGCGTATCCTCTCGTCCTCCTCTCGTTGCCTCCTTTCTTCCTCTTCTTTGATCCTCCTCTCCTCTTCCTCCCTTCTTTTTCTTTCTGTCTCTTCTCGAAGCCTTTGTTTTTCCTCCTCTTGCTGTTTGCGACACCTCTCCTCCTCTAGTTCATGCAGCCTCAGTTCCTCTGCTCTCTTCCTCCTTTCTTCTTCTTCCTGTCTGAGCCTCTGCTCCTCCAGTTCTCTCCTCCTCATCATCTCCTGTCTTTCCTCCTCATGGAGTCTCTGCTTCTTGTAGCTTTCTATGGACTCAGCAGATGCTCTGCGCTGGTTGTCTGTGGAGATGCAGGCTGCATCAAGGTCGTCTTGCACCACACCATGAACAGATACCTCTTGGAGGTCCTGGGAATGCATAAATACAATTAGTTCCATTTTTACAGTAGGAAATGTTACAAAATGAATCAACAACATGCTAAGAAGCAACACATATTTTGACTATAGTTCTGGCTTACCTGGGTAAAGCGCCGGTGTTTGCTGGAGACCCTCTGGTTTTTGGGTTTGACAGACAGTTTATGCTTGGCAGCGGTGTTGTCTAAGAGAGGAACAGACTGTGGGACGGCATCTAGGTTGATGGACTCGATGGTACCAGTGGGTGGAAGAACTTGTTTGGATCTTGGGGACTTCACTGGGGTGCTGTGTGGTTCAGCTGGTTGAGCCCCCTGGACTGGCTTCAGTCACAGCAACAGAGCATTTATTTAAAACTGATGCACATCTGATTTGACTTAATACATTAAAAAAATATACCACCAATTTGGCATTGCATTTCTATAACAGCATTGGATTTTTTTATAAAAGAAAACGAAGTTCAAAATCGATAGAGCAGGGAGTCTTTTTTATTTGACACAGAGGCTCAGAGGAAAACGCTCCAGAGGGTCATTAATACGACCCAGGAGATCGTCGGCTGCCCGCTCCTCACTCTGGAAGAACTACACAGTTCCCGCTGCCTCAAAAAGCCCAGAACATCATTAACCCTGTAAAGCCTGACACATCAAAAAATAGCCAGGACATTCTAATTTTTTGGAACTGAAATGTTTATTTAAACCTTTTAATAAAATTCAAAAGAAAATTCAAGATTTATATTTGCCATTTATGCATAGACAGACAGTCCAGGCATATAGGAATAAATGTGCCATATTATTTTGTTTATTTTAATTTTATTTTTTGTATCATATTTGATACATGAGGCATTTTTGGCTATTTTTATTTGCTCAGAAACTCACATAGCAAAAATATGATACAAATGGTTTTATAGGGTTAAGAACACTTCACACCCAGGACGTTCACTCTTTAAACTGCTGCCGTCAGATAGACGGTTCAGAGCAATGAAATCAAGGGTCACTAGATTCAGGAATAGTTTTTACCCAACAGCAGTTACCACACTCTGTGCTGCTAAAATATAATATTCCTGTGGCTATGAGGGGGGTGTGAGAGGTCTGTTGTTTATTTTGTTTTTGTAGCGGTTATGTTTTTTTATGGTTTTATTTCATTTTTTTTTTTTATTGCTGTAGGGATGGATGTCACTCTAAAATTTTGTTGTACATGTTACAATGACAATAAAGAATTATCTTATCTTATATTAATTGTTAAATTACCCATAGTGCAACTCAGTTGCAGACAATTCAATCCAAGCCCCCAGGAATATCATTTGGTCATAAACCTATTTCAGTATAGTGGTGAAACCACATTACTACAACTTCCATGTTCATCACTTGATGCACACTAGTCTAAAAAGTTATTTTCCCTGAGACACCCATTGGAAAAGGGGTTTAGTGCATAGGAATGAACTGGATGCCATCTAGTAATCTGATATCCAGATTACAAGAATCCTGTTATCTGTTTCTCCTTAATACATCCAAAGTTCAGTCACAGATCCAGGTGTTATACTAGTTGCAGCAAATGTATTTTTTTAGCCATTAGCTTAGCTAATGATGAGGAGTGGGCAACAGAGGACTGGTGAACTCACCTCTTTCTAGCTCCACACATCAGACTTTAATCATTTTTGACAGTGACTCAAGTGATATCACTTGAAGAAACTTAGCAAACTTCCTGCAGTCACAAAAACACAACTTTTTTCACATGCAGTCGTACACTCCAGCAACCATGAACAGACTATGATGTGTAAAATCAGTGGATTTCCCCTTTGGAAACAAACTTACATCCAAATAGGTTCATTATCTGTTACCTTTGGCTCTGTTTTTGATGGCTCGGCTTCGACCTGGGCCAACACTTTCAGTGGGCTCCGAGGCATCTCTTCCTCATCTGAACTGCCCTCATCTCCTTCACTCCTCCTCAGAGAAGGAGGCCTCTGGCCAAACTTTATACCTTGTGCTATCTGCCTCTGTGTGATCAACAAAAAAAGTTCCACATTATATTTGCAGAAAGAAAATGTTCAGCAACAGGGTACACATCAGGACAAGGCTCACCTGCAGATTCCTAACTTTATCTGAGACGTTTTCCTGGGACATGCTGTGATCCAGACCCAGCTCCGTCACTGGCTCCTCTGGGATAAAGATGCTGTCGTGTGAGAGAGCTCGAGATCCTATGGGATTCAATTCCCTGCAGAAGAATGAGAACAACTTCGGTGTTGCAGCGTCATTACAGTCAGTCATTCGTTTATCAAAAGCAGGCTGCAGTGTTGCTCTGTGTAAGAAATGCATGACTTCTTTACACACACCAGCGATTTCAGGACAACAGGGCTCAAATTGTGTCAGGCCTTTTATAAGCTGTATTTGTGCAGAGCCTCACAATTCTCTACCGACTGCATAACCACAACATGCAGTGTTTATGAGTCTGTTTTAACACATTCATTGTTCTGAAAGTGAAAATCAGATAAGACACCATGTTGTATCTTGCATTAAAATCTGTCTGCCCTAGCTATCTGGATAAAAGTGGTGAGAAATTCACACACTTTCTGTATAGACACCAAATTATGTGGCTGCTATAATAAAAAAGAGGGAAAGCTCATTTTCCTCACACATGGATAAAATTGAACCTTATTTGTGTACTAACCTCAGATTTTGATTGGCCTCCTCACTGTCAGATACAATTCCATTGCACACTTCGCCAGTAGAAAAACTTGCTCTTAGCTCTGCTCCATCAAAGCCCCCTCTCACCTCTCGCTTCTTCTTCTTCCCAAACAGTCGTCTGAAGGGCTGGAATTTGCCCTGATGCTTTCTCTCTGTTGGTGAAAGAAAAAAATGATAACCACAGCCACATGCAATCAGATCATCAATCTGGGATAGATAACCAGCAGGATGGTGCATATAGGCGAGTTTGTGTGTGTGTGTGTGTGTGTGTGTGTGTGTAATGAATTGCCACTGATTGAATTAAAGGAAAATCAGTCAAAATAGCAGATGGAATGAGGAGAAAACCCTGGCTCTTTTGTTCATACTTACATGTATATACCGTACAAGATGTGGAACAGGTAAACAACACACGTAAAAACAGAGCACCCTCAGCCAAAGGTTTAGAAACATCGTGATAACATCTCATTCTTCTTGAATTATTGACCATCAAACATGTGAATCTAACCACATTTGATCAACACTCTAGTAGATAACTCAAAGTTATGCATGTGGGGTGTGTTATGCAAAGCTAGACAGTGTGAACTTTCACTGCCATATAATGACACATCATAGTTAATCACACTGACAGATTCCCTGACCCATCAGTTTGTGAGGAATACCTACAACCATGTCAATATGTGCTGACAATCATAAAAATGTGACAACTAACTGAGCCAATAAGACAAAACAGATGTCATAAACCCTGGGGTACTGGAGCGATTGGTGTGTGTCATGAGCCAAACTTAAAATACTAACTTTAGACTTTTGGTTGATACCGTCATGCCTCAAAGTTATAAACTCTTGCACATTAACTAAACTTTCCCATGTATAAGAAAAATAACATCCCTCTGTTCCCTGTTTTAGGATCCCAAAGATGAGATCTGTTGACATATTGTTTGAAGAATGTGAACAGATACTGTATCTCTCTGCTTTATTTTAAAATGTAATAAGGAGTGTTTCTTCAGATCTGATTGTTCTTAGCTCTGCTTTGTAAGTCTGACTGTGTGTTTTGTTTTTGTCTGTGTGTGTGGAGGTCCACTGGATGAATTAAGTGGGTGAGAATACAGAGCTACAAAGCTACTCTACACCACTGTGCAGACAGCGTTCTCAGGGTTCTGTGGGTATCCCTTTCAGAGCTATAAGTAGCAACTGGTGTGGGATTTCACTTCTCATGCTGCTCACTAACCCAGAAGCATCATGGGAAATGATACAGTAAACCCATTTCCCTACTTAGATCCTTAACCCTGGCATGTGTGTCTTTGTTTTTGTGTGGGAGAGTAAAGACCACTCTAATTGGTGTGCATGTATTTAGTTTAATATACCAACAGAGGCATGAAGGTACTGTATATAGAATGTTGGAAATATTTGCTATATAACTGAATTTGACTAAGTACAGAATGCACAGACACACAATGTACAGGTTTAAGGGAACATCTACATCTGTAATATAGTCACATAGAAACCCTCTATCTGCACAAATCTGTCAGAAATCAACAGTCTAGTTACAAATACACTACCAGTCAAATGTTTGGACACACTTTTAAACCAGGTAATATCTCACTGAGATTCCACATCTCATTTACAAGAGAGACCTGGCCAAGACAGACACCTGTGAGTTGAATGAGTTTCCTCAGTTTATTTTGCAACCACTGTTGGAAGCATTTTGAATTTGACACAGTCAGAAATTCCCATTTCTTCCACTTTCCCTATTTGGTTTAAAATTTTTTCATTAAAATTGAGAAAAATCAAATTTTCTTTTAAAGGTATAAATATTATTTTTAATGGAAATTTTAATAATTTATGGCCTAGCTTCCAGCTAAATTGTACTTGCATCTTATTTAATACACAACCAACCTCTCGTGGCCTTAACTGACTTTTTTCCCTAAAGCAATGGAACAACATTTTGGGAAATACAGTAGGTCTATGTTTGTTTGCTTTCATGCAAAGGCTTGCACCCCTTTACTTTCAAATGGCAAAAAGTTGAATAAGGATATTTTTCCCCATCACCATTTCAGTGAAAAAAATTTTGCTTCCCCCTTTATGAAATGTTCTGTAATCCTTTGTATGTCCTCCCTAACCTCCTCCAACCTCTTTGGGTGCCCTCTGAGCAGCATTTGTTGCCTTTCTGGTGTAAAAAGAATACAGTGAACCTTTTACCACGGCCTTCACAGTCTCCAGACTTAAATATTACTTTTCTGATGAAGGAACATTTATACTAGCTGAATGCACATTAAATATTATATTGAGAAGAAAAAAAAACTTCTTTTTTTACTCTTTTTGCCAATTCAGGGTAAGGGGGTGCAAACATTTGCACTCAACTATACAGTACATCTGTATGCTAAATATGAAACTGTTGGTAGCAGCTAGTTAGCTTGGTTTATGATAAAGACTGGGAACAGATGAAGCACTGGCTCTGTCCAAGGGTGAAAAAGTAAAAGCTCACTAATTAACACATTATAGCATGTTTACTTATTCCATGAAAAATTGTCTAAAAACAACAAGCTGAGGTTTTATGTGGAGTTTTGTGCCTTGCTAAAACAGCAGGAACATCAATGGCCCTGGCCAAGAAATAGGCCAGAACATAACTCACAATAAAATCATAGCACGTTTTATACACCTGTAAACGTCTGAACAGATTAGAGGTTTGGGAGGCAACTTTAAAGGATTTAGTTACTTATGGCCTGAGCCAGGCTGGCTCTTATCCCGTTTCCATTCTTTATGCTAAGCTAAACTAGATAGGCTACTGGTGGTAGCTTCATATTTAGAGTAGTATCAGCTTCTCAACCAATTCTTTAAGCAAAGACCCATATGATGATGCATCAAAATGTTAAACTAAAAATATTAAGAAGAGTCTAGTGCAGCTTGCTTGTTCTGCCTGCCCTACAGTCAATGACCTAGAGACATTTGGCTCATGATCATATTAGAGAGGGGAGTGAAAAGGGCAAAGTCGTACATTTAATGGGGTGAAACTAGGGAATATTTTACACTTCACTGAATACAAGACTTTCTGTCAGTTGACTTATTCATGAAGCAGCTCTACTATTTTCTGATATTAATTTTTGCTTTGTTTTCATTTGTCTGTTGCTGTCTTTTTTTCTTCACATTTTTCTAATATTTAGATCAGGATAATGGATCCTAAAGGCCTATATGATGTGTGTGTATTTTTGTTTTATCTGAAAGCATTCTATGTGTATATTTTTTTACATAATTCAATAAAGGTATGTTGCAGAAAATTATATGTCTGCTCATCTTTCAGATTTCTTTGCATATCACCTGTCTGTTCTTGTTTAAGTAGAGATAAGTTGTGTCAGCAGATCACTGGTGAAATTAGTGGTGTGCTCAATACCCCACCAGATCCACTCCCACTTAGTCTGTCTGTGTGCAGTGACTGATGTTATGGTGCAACACTGCTGTTCCGTTTCCCTGCTGCATGCTCTCCCAGCATCAGGGTTTCTCCAGTGCTTCAGCTCTGGTACACAGCCCATAATGTACTGCCATGGGCACGCTTGCACACTCATGCGTGTAACAAGAAAGGCCACTTTTTCTCTGGAGTGTAGACGACTCAGTGGCAGCAGCATTCTACAATGACACTCCCCAGCTGTTAGGGTGAACTCCTGCTTTCTGTGTGCTTTTTGGTGCAGGGTGTTTTGACCCTGGCCCTCTGGACTCTGAGCCGTGCTGATTTTTCACTCTAACTATGTGACCAGGGAATATTTCACATTTGGGGAAGGCAAATGAACTAGCTGGCGGCAGAGAAAGCCAACGGGAGGCAGGCTCAAAAACTGCTCTTGAATTCCACACAAATCTAAGATAAGATGCACACAATGCAACAACTCACTGTTCTAATAGAAAGACTGCAAAGTAACATTTTCTGTGTCATTAAAGGAATAGTTTGACCTTTTGGAAATGGAAACCTATTAGCTTTCTAGGTGACAAGTGAGAAGATTGATACCACTCTTGTGTCTGTCTGCTAAATATAATTAACCTGTATTTTTGTTTGATCCTTAAAAAAGCAGAGAAATAAATTTTGTTGTTTGATGTGACAACCACCAGAAACCGCAGGAAGTCACTGCCCACCTACTATAAAATAGTCTGACACATAACCTCCTATAAAAGGCAAGATCAAACAAATGACACAGGTCATTTTAATGAGGAAGCTTTAGAAGTGCTGAAAGGCAGATATTGTTACCTTTGGACTGAGCTAAGCTAGCTGTTTTCAATCTTTATGCTAAGCTAACTGGCTGATGAACATAACCTTATTTTTTAACAGACAGACATGAAGAAGGTTACACAAACCAGAAACATAAGCACAGCACACCAGCACGATACAGTAGGTAAAGGCTTTTGTAAATCTTGTTAATCAAGTCAAACCCATCACTACACCATTCACTTCTTAAAGAGACAGTGGGGGGTGGGGGCTTTAAGTTTAGGACAGCAAAGGTCATTTCATTCCCAGGATGTTATCACTGAATCCGTTTTAATACACCGTCTCTTTAAGATGTCTGTTAAAGCACTCTTTTTTTTTTTTTTTTTTTTTTTTTTTTTTTTTTTTTTCCGGGCCTTTTGTTTTTTGTTTCCTTTTTTTTTTTACTATTTACCTGGGCCTTTGGATTTGGTTACCTCTAAAAGCATGTCATACTTAGTTTCTGTAGCATCTGTTGCCATGGTTGCTGCACACCTTGGCTGTGGTGAGAGAAAAAGGAATTAAACATAGGGATGCTGTTATCTGCTTTACTGCAGAGGGTTAAAGGGAGCAAGCATACGCCTTTAAACAAGGGAGAAGACAGACACATGAGCAACCAGGAAAGGGGCTCTGAACATTTACAGTGACTGAGCAGAGCTAGTTTGATTTCTACATTTATTGCTTTTTATATTGCTTTCCATCGCCTCTGGCATTAGCATCCAAATCTTAGCTTTGTTAGCTCTTGCAGACTGGTTTGTCTAGGGCACGATAAAGCCTCTGCTGTTTTGTAATGCAACAGGAGTCCTCTGAGGCCACTAGTGTGACTTGTTGGTGTGGAAATTGTGGTACTAAAAACAGTGTTTGAGAGTTGTGAAATATAAAAACAGCTAAATATATGCACTTTCAACAGCTGACTTTTTGCTTTCTCTA